CCCCCTGGCGCCCGGCGGGCTAACGGCCACGCCCCCGGTGCCTGGCGGGCTCAAATGGTTGGGGACCACTGATATAGATCTTCATCACTGAGGTGTCCGCACTCTCAAAGGAATCCAAAAAGGGTACACATTTGTCTGTGACTCAAAATTGACAGGTAAGACCAGATCTGATGGAGTCAATAACAAAACAAAACAAAACAAAACAAAAAACAACACACACAAAAAAGCCACCCTGACTCGAAAGTGCCTTTCTGCATGAGATTGAAATGTTAGGCTGCGATCGGTGGAAAACTCAGATGAAATGTCAATACCCTGTGCTACTGATTTGGAATCTGAAAAGACTGCGTCCCACTGATCATGAATCTTTTTAATATCTTTAAGAAGTCATTCAACGTTATCCCTCTCAACATTTAATGTAGCATTGTGTGCTTTAATTACAAGATTAGTTTAGTGGATCATTTTTAGCAGTTTCATTCACATGGATGACATTAAAATGAATTCAAATTCACTGAATTCTGAAATTACTTAAGCTCAGTGCGAGCCTGTGCTGAAAAAGTAAGAGATTCCAGCTTTCTTAAAGCCTCTCTCTGAGTCCAGATGCTGTGCAACTGGTTTAATGCCATCAATTCATGCCGACAATCTTGTTGTCAACATGCCATGAAGGGAAACGGGCAGATGCTGCTTCAAATTTCCCACTTTTGAGGACTGCTACTGAAGAGGTTCTACAATTGTGGAACTTTTCCCAAGTATGTGATTGCTTCCTTGCATGATTCAGCGCAATAATCGCTGATAAGATTTAATGAATGGGTGCCATAACTGGAGAAAATACAGTCTGGATTTTGCTTAAGGATTGCTTGTACTCTGTTGTACTTCCCAACCATATTGTATCCACTGTCATAGGCTTGGGTCAATGCAGACTTGAAAATTTAATTTGAAGCCTTCCAGAATTTCTAATATTGCCACTTGCGTTTCTTTTCCATTTTTTTCCATGAAATTATTCAACAAAATGAATCATTCTTTAAAGAAATCTTTGAACTTCCTGCAATTTTAACTTATTTAACAACCAAAATTATCTGTTCTTTTGGAGAACAGTCTGGAGTTGCATCAATAATCATTTGAAAAGTACTACACGTGTCGTATCTTTTCAAGAATTGTTGTTTGCACACAGCTCAGTAAACTCGTTTTGTACTCTGGTAGACTAGCATTCACAAACACGCTTAATATAGCCTGATAAAAGTGAATCATGCTTGCTAAGACGCTCAAGCATACCAAGAAAGTTTCCATTTGTAGGGTCACTGATATGTTGTCTGGAACCAAACAAAACCAATCCCCTTTCAGAAAGAAAAAGAATGACATTCAATATGCACTCAAGGAGTTTTTTCCACTTTTCAGTTTCCGTGTTTATTTCACTCTGGACTCCTGCATCTATTACTACTGTTGGCACTTGTGTCTTGATTAATGACCACCTCATTTTGAAGCAGCAGCACTGAAATGTCATTTGTGGGTACAAAGTTTTCATCATCAGAACTGGAAGTGTCATTGTCAGTACAGTCACTGTAACAGCTGAGATCTTTTCTACAAGAAATGATGTTATTGTCTTTAAACTTAACTGCTGCTTCACTGTGTTACTTTCACCATCTCTTGCACTACTTTCAAATCTTTGCTTCATTTTTATAAAGGGATTCTTTTAGAACATAGCAATACAAAACAAATTCATTCGCTAAAGGCTATTAGCTATACAGGCGACCCCCGACTTACAACCGGCAGACCTACAACCCCTTGCATTTATAGCCACCCTGCTCTGGGAGCCGCCTACCAGCCAGCACAGCCCCCAGCTGGCACAGGGCGTTCTTCATGCTGCAGGGCCACCTACTGCCCGACATAGCCCCCGGCCAGCTCAGAGCACCATTCACGCCGCTAGCTCCAGGAAACAACTCCCCGGAGGCAAAGTGGGCCAGGAACGGAACCCCCATTCATAACATTGCCCCTATGGGCAATAAGGGTTTGATTTACGACAGTTCTTCAGGAACCAATTAGGACATAAGTGCAGGGGTCGCCTGTACAAAATGTTAACTGTATATACTTAGCAACGATTATATTATATTATAACAGTGTGGGGCTGTTATTTAATATGGCTCTTACAGCCTCATTTCAAAGTTTTGAAATTTCATCTGCTAACATCTTCTCATTATAAAATTCCTCTAATAACTGGAGCGTTATTATGAATATGAACATGGGACAACTGCCAGATTAGATATAAAGATTATTAAACAATTCAAATTAAACTTTATCATCACAAAAAAAAGCCTTTATCGTGAATCTAAAACTGGACGAAGAAGTAGCTGAGCCTGATATGGTTATTGTATACGAAGACCATAAGAAAAAACAGGAATACAAAAATCTCCTATGTAGAGATAAACATATAATTTAAAGGTTAAACTCACCCTCAGACTAAGAAAAATCACTTTACAGTAACAGAATTAATTACAACTTTCAAAACCTCTAAACTATGCAAAGACTGCAAACAGCGTTTCATAACGTAGAATCACTAGCCACAGAAGCTACTCTAGACTCCAGTCACACAGATAAAAACTCAGATATGACTGAAAAATTGGCAAAGGCCCAAAGTCCCCCCATGATTTAAATCCATTTCTGCATATATATATAGCTTTTGTTGTCTCTGTAATTATTGCAAGGTATCATAAAATGGCAAGTGGTAGAAAAATGTCAAAATTTGAGGTCCCCCCTTTGTCTCCTGAAACCTGGGCCAAACTGCCCTCCTGGCCCACCCCCTCTGATAGGGCCTGTTCCCAAATTAATCGGTTGGTATTTAAGGTGTCACAGGATTCCTTGTTCTATTGTTACAGACATACTTGTTGAGGTATTTTGAAATAAATTACTAATAATAGCAACTGGCATGATTATGCATCAAAATCACATTGTATAAAATTTAAGAGTTTTGCAAAATTGTATACAGAATTTAATTGTTTAGAGCAGAATTCCTCCAGAGTAACATTTGTAAATTCCACTTTTATCATCAAGAGATTGCACTACAGTATTTGTATTAGGTGAACTGGAAAACATTTTTAGTGAAAATATTTGTAATAAAAATATAACGTGAGCAGTGTTCGCTTTGTATTTTGTTGTAATTGAAATCAATATATTTGAAAATGTAGAAAATGTCCAAAAAATATTTAGTTTTCTACTATTGTTTAACAGTGTGATTAATTTTTAATTGTGCCATTAATGCAATTAATTTTTAATCACTTGACAGTCCCAATAATTTTGTAATACCTCCTTACATAAAAGGGAGAATGCAGATAAGTTTAAGCAAAGGTTAAAATATTAAGAAGACACTTTAGTCAAATAAATTCCTTATTGACGCAGTACATGAAATTGTTAAATTCAAGTTCCTGTCTACTTACATTATTAGCAAAAACTCGAAGGTCAAGTGCTACAGCATACATAATAGGCAAAGCCCTACAGAAGCAAAAAAACAATATTTTGTCTGAGTAACAAAACCAATACTGTAGGTAAAGGTACAAGTTATTTTTAGTCCATATAAGGGTAAGCATTCCTACATATCCTTTCCTTCAATCTTTAAAAAAAAAAGAATCACATTTTGGTAGGAAAATGTCTTTTAAAGGTCAGCGTTCCGTACATCTTTACTTGCAGTAAATAAATAATGCATGTAATTAATATCTAGATGACAAACTGTCAGAAAGAACATCATTTTGCAATCAATGCTCTAAAGCAGAGGTGGGCAAAAGGACTTCCACAGGCTGGGTCCGGCCCGCCAAGCAGGTTGATCCAGCCCGCAGAGGCCCCCCACAAACCTTCCTCGTGCCCTGCCAGGAGCACGTAGCGCTTTGAAGAGCCATGTGCTGTGCCCAGAGCAGAAAGAGACATCATGCGCTCCCCCACCCTCAAGCCCTGATTGCCCTGGGGGTGGGGGAGTTCATGAAGTTTCCTCCACCCTCCTCCCCACCCTGCAAGGAGCGCCCAGCACATCAAAGTGCCGTATGATCACGCAGGGCAGGGCAAAGAATGCTTTGTGTAGCTCCCCTGCCCCCAGGCCCTGATAGGGTGGGAAGAAACTTCGCATACTCCCCCCCCCCAGCCAGGGGGGGGGGGGGAAGAAGGGGAGAGAGGCACAAAGGGACTTCCCCACCTGCAGACCAATCATGGTCCCCACCTGGTCCCACCCCTTCTGGAGCCCTATTTTGAAGTGGCCCCCGGCCAAAAATTATTGCCCACCCCCGCTCTAAAGGGAAAGAAAATAAGTTTACTAAACAATTGGAGTATGTAAACTACTGAACAAATAGACAAAATGAACAGATTTTTGGCTTAAGTCCCTAATACAAATCTAAAAGAAAATAACTGGTGTTTATAACTGAAACATATCATGACAGATGAGTTATTTTATGGTGGTGTCTTAATTGAACTATCATTAGATCTAGATGATTACATTCATCCCAAAATGTATTCACCTGCCTAATTACTAATATATCAGTTATAAAATACTTACCAATTTTCTTCTTTATGGGCTTGAAATGCTCGCAGGAATGATGTGTTATATTTAAGAAAACACAACACACAATTTACAAAGTGACTCATATAAGTATAATGAGATAGGTGTAAGACCTCACAGTACGCTCTATTTGAATGCAGAAGACTGCAAAAGAGGCAACAAATCTGGTCTCAGGGAATGTAGAGGCACGTAAGGGACAAATCCAGATCTATTGAATGCCGCTCCCTTTGCTCTAACTGAGGAAGCATGGAGCCCAGCACATGAGAATGGAAGAGGCCCAAGGAAGGGGACAGGACAGTGGGTCTTTGCAATGTCTCCCTCCTTCCTATATTATGTGTGAAATTCCTGTAGGAGACTAATTTGCTGGGCTGGGGGCAAGTAATACTTTTTTTCTGACCCTTGTGTAGTGAAGGGGGAAAATGTTTTTAGGGCTTCATTGGTCACAAGTCTAAATAGCTGAATTTTATTCATATACTGTATAAATGAGAGCGCGTGTGCGCAATATTTAGATTTCGTAATTCTATCACGTGTAAGAATTTTGCCCTCCTCAAACACAAAGATATCCCTGATGCATGCATTTATGAGCTCTCAAATGACCTGACAAAAGGATATTGCACTATAACTGTTTGGCATTTGTAAGCTTCGATAAAGTCATGGTTTCCAACAGCATAAGTACATCTGTCAAAAGAAAAAGCATGAAGAAGGACACTCAAAAAGTATTTTATATTTAAAAGTTTGGCTTAATATATTAGCCTTTTTCTTGATAGCTAAATTACAGCTTTGCAGTTTATTTTAGTAACAGGATTTTTAGGCGTATTCAAACTGCAAATAATATTTGAAATGAATATTGAGTGATAATATCAATAAACTGGCAATACATTACACAGCAATAGGTCTGAACTCATCAGTATTAAATAACCTCTTTACAAATGTTATTCAATATAACTGAGATAGATACATTTGAAAGGTTATTAAAACAATGGAAAATTAAAACGTCAACTTGACCTCTATTCAATTTTTTAAAAGAAATATTCTGGACAACGAAGAGGCACAAGAGAGCCCAACAAGTTTACAATCACCTTTTCCTATTCAAGAAATGTATCTTTCCCCTATTACTGTTTGTTCACTTTCACGTCTGCTATTGCTATGTAAAGTAAGCGTGCTTTTGCAGGGCTTGGAAAAGGGCATGCATGATCAATAAGACAGCGTCAACACACACACACACACACACACACACACCCACACCCACCCCCCCGACTAAAAAAGATAAATCTGTAAATATTTTCCATATCCTTAAAATTGCTGTAAATTAATGATAACTTATTACCAGGGCTCAAAGATTGCAGCAAAAACCACTCACCAGCCCCGCACCATACATGCACGATATCCGCACTGCGCATGCGCAGACTGCCGGTGAATGGGGCAACCGGCTGAAATCTACTCACCATGGGGGAGTAGATAAGCATATTTGTTCAGCCCTGCTTATAACAGTACGAGGTACAAAATTTTCAGATGGAGTTGAAGTTACCAGTGCCCTTTCCAATCAATGAGAACAATTCAGAGAGAGTCCATTCCTGTTCCCTAGGTGAATACATAATAATTAAAAACCTAATTCTATCTTTACCTTAAGTGAGCAGCAAACATTTCATCATATGGTGGTTCCAGAAGTTGTTGACATTTTTCTTCTGGAGATGGAAGCTAATTAAAGAAGAAATAAATGGAGCATTAAATGTACAAAGCTGCACTAAAAAAAATAGAAAAAAACCACAGATATTTTATCAAGCTAGTATTTTCATACATAAAAGCCTTGAATATATACGAGAATATTAACAGGATACTCGCTATAGGGGAAAAAAGGAAAATTAAGGAGAGTCATTACAGTAAACTTCCGATAATCCGGCACCTTTGGGACCCAAGGGGTGCCGGATTATCAGATATGCCGGACTATCAGAAGGGGGGGGCT